AGGGGGGGGGTGTTCTGCAGAACTCATCTGGGAATTCGCATCCTCCGGTTTAATGTGATAGATAGATAGATGGTCTTGCTTAGATAGATAAATAAATAGATAGATAGATGGTTTAATATAGATAGATATAGACGTCTTAGATAAATAGATACAAGGTTATAATGCATTATAACCTTGGATAGATGTAGAGATACATAGATGGTCTAATATTGATGGTCTTACATAGATAGATATATGGTTTAGTAGCTCGATAAATGATCTTACATAGATAGAAAGATGGTTTAGTATAGATACAAAGATGGTCTTGCAAAAATAAATAGTTCGTCTTGCAGAGCTAAATAGATGGCTTATTGTTATAGATAGAAATATTGTCTTGAATAGATAGATAGATAGATAGATAGATGGTCTTTTTTTAGATTGTTTCTTTTTTAAAGTACAAATTTTTATCTATTTATGTTATTGTAATGGGTATTATACAGTGCGAAAAAGTTTTAGCCGGGATTTTTATTTTCTCTAGTTTGTGAAAATATTTTATTTTACTCAAATTATTTCAAAGCAGGTCGATAAAGTTACTTAATCACCCTGTTGTAGGGTGATTAAGTAACTTTATCATCCTACAATGAGACAAATTAGGTATAAAATTTGAAATTTTAATAGCACGGTAAAAAAGTTACATTTTCGCCCCGTTGTAGGGCGATAAAGTCACTTAATCACCTTACAACGGGAAATATTAGGTGTGATAAATTCCATCAAAATTGAATAAAAGTATTAACATGGCCATTTTAATATAATTTTACGATACGAATTTAACCATCGAATATTTGGCTCCACTTGTACTAGTTTTTTCTTGAACTCCCATACTAATTAAAAATATTTAAAACTTTGCGTAAAATAAATCAATATCAAGAAATGTGGTAAAAATCTTAAAATGATTTATTTTTTTTTCATAAAAAAGATAGTATTTTTGTAACGTTTAAAAGAAACTTCAATGTATTGCATGATATAAAATAAAAAGCTTTGAATATTTTAGTAGAGTTTCCTAGAAAGAGAGATGGATTTCCACTAATTCGAAGATCTACCAGACTTTCCCAGAAACTCGTGTTACGCAATATAAAGTCCAGGTTAAATACTGAAAATTACCACCCTCATGTCTCATAATGTATACATGTCCGGGTTTAATACTGCAACCTCTCCCAATGGCCAACCTAGTGTCACGTAATATTATGCCCGGCTATAAAACTGCAACCTCCCACCCTCGTGTCACTCAATACCTAAAATAGGAAACTTTAAGATAAAAAATTTAAACATTTAACAATTTTTTTTAATTTGAGTCCCAATATCCTTAGGGTGCTAAGGAGGTTGGGAAAAATGCTAATAAAGGTCGGAAAAATGTAAAAAATATATTTTTTCTGTTTTTTCCAACATATGACAGCTAGCTATGTATTAACATCTATTTTCAAGGTCTTTAAAAAATGTAATATTTAGATCTGTAGCACAAAAAAAGTGATGGGCTATTTCATTTTTTTATCGGATCGGCCTTTTAGTGTCCTGTACCCTTCACTGCATTCATTTAAAAGATTCAAAGTGATGGTGTCAAAAATGAGAGTGCAAGGCCAGAAATGAGAGTGCCAGGCCAAAAATAAAATTAGAGGTCTGTTTCGAGTTAATTTACAATTAAATCCCGTTTAGCAAAATGCGTTATAATAAAAAAATGCTTTATAAGAGAATGCAAACCTAGCTAGAAAATTAACTGCTGCAGGAGGTCATTTAAAATTGATAATTGACAAAATAAAGGTAAAATGCAGATGTTTGCTTTTTACCAAGGAATCAAATGAATGAATGAATTTAAGAAAAGAGAAAACATCCTTTTCTTTCTGACCCCCCACCCCCCACCCCTTGACCCCTGTTCAATGATTGTGTAAGACAAGAAATTATAAAACTTGTGAAAAGAATATAAATCATGAATAACGTAAGTCTCCCCCCCCTCCCCTAACATTGCTCCCCTCCCTGGCCCAGGAGAGAGCTGAGAAAGCTTGTTTCACCGCAGAGTCACATTTTTATCATCTGAACCCTGAAGTAATCAAGGCTTTAGAGGCTTCAAAGAAATTATGTTTATGAAAGCATTTTACAGTTAAATTTAGGAAATTCAGTAAGCTTGAGATTCGTTGGGATGAACTGAGAACAAAGTTAAAATGTTTAAAATTGAGAGAAAAATGGAAAATTTGTGACAGTGTCAAGTTTGTGACAGTGTCAAGTTTGTGACAGTGTCAAGTTTGTTTACAAAAAAATGAAGCAGCGTGGTTTGAAAACTGTTGCCACCATGACAGTAAGGTGAGTTTTCGACGCTTTTAATTTTTTTCATAAAGATATTAATTTGATTATATGCAGAAGTAGGTAACTTTTCATCTCTTAAATAAATAGGTTTATTTAAAGAGATTTCTGACGATTTATCAGTAATAATTCATCGAAACAATTTGCTGCAGTTAAGCTACTAAGATCTCAGAATTCTGAAACGGATGATTTTTATAAAACCATTTTTCTGATTACATTTGCAAAGGAATCAAACTCTGATTATCTAATCCCTTTATTTCTCCAACCCGATGTCGTAGAACTTTGATATTTCAAACTTTGAATTCTGATAAATAATATAGTGTAAGTTTGAAATATCATGTTTGAAATACCATGATAATTATAAAAAAAGACTAGCTCAAGTTTGTAAAGGAATTGAGTCTTTGCAACAAACTCTGAATAATAAAGATATGTCTAAAAATATCTGTACCATTGCATCTTTGAAAAATAAGTGAATCGTTTTAAATTGTTTGAATAGTTCCAAAGTGGAAATATTGTTCAGTTCCCTAGCGGAAATATTTTTTAGTTCCCAAGCGGAAATATTTTTTAGTTCCCAAGCGGAAATATTGTTTAGTTCCCAAGCGGAAATATTGTTTAGTTCCCAAGCGGAAATATTGTTTAGTTCCCAAGCGGAAATATTTTTTAGTTCCCAAGCGGAAATATTGTTTAGTTCCCAAACGGAAATATTGTTTAGTTCCCAAGCGGAAATATTGTTTAGTTCCCAAGTGGAAATAATATATTTAGTTCCCAAGCGGAAATATTGTTTAATTCCCAAGCAGAAATATAGTTTAGTTCCCAAGCGGAAATATTGTTTAGTTCCCAAGCGGAAATATTGTTTAGTTCCCAAGCGGAAATATTGTTTAGTTCCCAAGCGGAAATATTGTTTAGTTCCCAAGCGGGAATATTATTTAGTTCCCAAGTGGAAATAGTATATTTAGTTCCCAAGCGGAAATATTGCTTAGTTCCCAAGTGGAAATAGTATATTTAGTTCCCAAGCGGAAATATTGTTTAGTTCCCATGCGGAAAAATTGTTTAGTTCCCAAGCGGAAATATTTTTAGTTCCCAAGCGGAAATATTGTTTAGTTCCCAAGTGGAAATAATATATTTAGTTCCCAAGCGGAAATATTGTTTAGTTCCCAAGTGGAAATAATATATTTAGTTCCCAAGCGGAAATATTGTATAGTTCCCATGCGGAAATATTGTTTAGTTCCCAAGCGGAA